TGATAGCACTGAGAGAAAGCATAATAGAGTAATCCTTCAAAAAACTGGTATTTCCTAGACAAGGATGGGGACTGGAAAAAGAATAGGAAAGATTCAAGCATCCAGGGAGTTGAACCAGACTTCCGGAAGAAAGAGTCAAAAATTGAAGATGAAATTAAGCCTCTAATGCAAATAGTCACGGACACCCAAGAAAAAGCACATAAAATAGGAGCCAAAAAGGACTACACGGTAACACAGAATGAGATAAAGACAATAAAATTGGAAATCATGGGCAACACCGGCAGCCTAAACGAGACATTGGGCTACAAATGTAAATATAATCTAAATTGGCTGGCAAAAAATTGACTCACACTGAAAACACACATTTATACAGATGGGAAGAACCTCACTATAAAAGTACAATCCAACACAAGAAATCCATTAGCTTTATACGCAGGAACTACAATAGCATTTTTAGAGAAACCGGAAATTTCGTATTCCGGTTTCTGCCTATCACCTAGTAACACAGGAGGAAATCGTGGAACGGGAACAGACAGAAGCAGTAACACTACGACCACAGGTTGGATAACATCACAAAAGGCGAAATTAAATTGGCACTAGAAGAACTACTACTGGAGTATAATGACGTTTTTGCCAAATCAACAAAGCTCATGAGCAAGACAAATCTGACAGAACATAAAATAGAAGTAGGGAGAGCAAGTCCAATAAGAAGTCGTCCTTACAGAGTATCCCAGAAAGAAAGGCAAATTATCGACGAGCAAATAAAAGAAATGCTGGACAGCAAGGTAATAAGGCCGTGTCAATCACCGTGGGCCAGTCCGGTGGTCCTAGTAAGGAAAAAAGATGAGAAAATCCGTTTTCGTGTCGACTACCGAAAAGTTAATGCCGTAACAAAGACATCATCATACCCTCTACCACAAATCGACGATGTTCTGTCATATCTTGGAAATGCATCCTATTTCAGCACTCTTGATATGTTTTCTGGATACTGGCAGGTACCCGTCGAAGAAAGCTCCAAACAGTACACCGCATTCGTAGCACAAGGTCACGGAACCTACGAATTTGATGTTCTCAGTTTTGGATTATGTAACGCTCCCGCAACCTTCCAAGAATAAGCTGACCACGTTTTTCGGGACATGAAATGGAAGGAAGTATCAATTTATCTGGACGACATAATAAAATTCTCCCAAACGGTCGAATAGAACTTGAAAAAATTAACAAAAGTTTTGGAAATATTGCGACAGGCTGGACAGACAAACCTAACCGGATAACCAAGCAAATGCGAGTACCTACGAAAAGGGCATACTACCAAACGAAGATGAACTTGTGTGTATAAGGAACTTCCCAACTCCAAGAAAAGTTAAAGATGTGGAAAGCTTTCTAGGATTATGTAATTTCTATAGAAAGTTCATAATATGCGACTTCGCAGCAATAGCAAGACCATTACATGACGTAACAAAGAAAAACATAGGGTTCCAATGGGGCACAAACCAGGAGGAATCTTCCAATACTCTTAAGGAAAAACCTATATCAGCACCAGTACTAAAGCACTTTGACCCAAATAAAAATACTATTCTACACACAAATGCTGCAACATGTGGAATTGGGGCAGTGCAAGAGGATGATGAAGGAGATGCACACCCAATAGCCTATATAAGTCGAAATCTATCAAATAGCGAGAAAAGTTATTCAATGAGCGAGTTAGAGCTATTAGGTGTAGTATGGGCCCTAAGCTATCTGAGACATTTAATCTACGGTAGACCAGTGAAAATTATAACAGACCACCACGCACTATGCTGGATGGATTCTATTTGCCAGAGTTCGAGTACACGGTTGAATACAAAAAAGGCTCAACCCACAAGATGCTGATTGCATTTCCCGCAACCCAGTCTTGCAACCCGATTCACAGAAAATCGAGGAACAAGAGGAACCACCAGCATATGCGATAAGAACAATGGAGATGAGTTCATTACAGAAAAGAGACCCAGATTTGCAGTTCAGGAAGGCAGTAGAGGACCCAGACGATTCAAATATCAACATCGGAGCTAAAAGAAGAGCCAAAAATTTTAGAATCGAGAATGATCTACTATACAAAGTAAACAAAACACAAAAAGGCCTCAGCAAGGTACTGGTGGTACCAAAATCAATAACGGAGGAGATCCTGTGGGAACTGCACGCGTCTCCGATATGCGGCCACTTAGGGTTGAGGAAAACAATAGACAAGATACAAAATATAGAACAGGTTCTTCTGGGACGGAATGCTAAAAGACATCAAGAAATACGTTAAAGGGTGCCCCGATTGTCAGGCGAGGAAGGGCCAACCAAACAGAAAGACCCCGGGCCTCTTACAACCAATAAAAGTAGGCACGATTTTTGACAAAATTGGCATTGATTTACTAGTTCCGTTCATAAGAAGCAACCAAGGAAAAACAATGATAGTAGTAGCCACAGACTATGCATCAAGATTACGTCATCACAGTAGCACTGCCTAATAGAAAAGCATGACCAGTAGCAATTTTTTTACTAGAGAAACTATTTCTAATACACGGGATGCCACGACATGTTCTGAGTGATAGAGGAAAAGTCTTCCAGTCAGAGCTAGTGCGGGAAATAGGAAATATAATGGGGGTAAGGAGACAGTTTTCGACGGCATATCACCCATGATGTAACGGCTTAACAGAAAGATTGAATAAGACTATAGCAGATATGTTATCGATGTATTGCAACACACAACAGGCGGACTGGTGCAGCTACCTACCATTTATTACATTTGCATACAACTCAGCCACATAACTCGATTCAGTCCGCTTACGCTTACTTTCGAAAGAGAACCCATACTACCTGCAGAGGGAACTCGTATGGACGGTGAGGAAGGAAGAGATTCACTTCAGATCAGGGAAAAGGCTTTCTTGATAAGAGCTATAGCGGTGGAAAATATAAATAAGAGGCAAGAAAAGATAAGGAGCGATTCGACGAGAGACACAGAGAATTAAATTTTGAATTAGGAGACAAAGTGAAAGTATTTATCCCAATAAGAAAAGTTGGACGCAGTTAGAATCCGCGTTTGAGACGATTTGGACCATATAAAGTGATTAAGAAAATGGGAGAGGTAAATTATGAGGTAGAAAAAATTGGAAGCAAAAAGGGGAATAGAGATACGGTCCACGTAAGTAGGATGGTAGGTACCTTACAACGACCCGTGGACAGAACCCGCTCCTATGGAAGGAGTCAATGGGGATTCAGAAGATGAGATAAATATGGAAAACCGTGCTTCGGAAGTAGAATCCGATAGAGATGAAGAAACAAGTTAGGAGAACTTGGAGAAGCAGAAGTAGCAGTGGAGTACGAAGTCATTAGTAGGTATGTTCCCGATAAACAGAAACAACAACGTACTATAGCGATCGCATAGCTATCAGAAGGAAAAAATATATATGTATGGAGAACAATTGGAGACTGCGTACGCAACAAGAAACAAAAGCAGACAGAGGCCAGCCTAGATATAAGATAGTCAAGAAATAAGATAGAAAACATGGTTTAGGAGTAAAAATGTAAGGAAAAGAATTACCAGATTTGGTTTCCTTGCAGGTTACTGGTGCGAATGAAACCAGAAACTTTTCAATTATTACAACCATTTTTTTTTTTTTTTTCATGTAAGCAATTAAAAACGACCAGCCAAGGACAGACCAAACCATTGAACAAGAATTTGTCAACCACAAACCTGAACAAGGATTATCCCCTTCAAACGTTGGACCAGAATTAGCTCTGAACTGAGTAGGGGCAATAGTTTTTGAACCCATTGCAATAGGCATTATGGCATAATGAACAAATCAAACGAATCAAAGTACCACCTCCACCACACTGACAAGAAAAAAAACTTTGGACTAAGAGCACCACAAACCAGGCAACTTAGACCATGGGACCGTATACACCCCACAACCTAGCTGACCAATCCGCCAAGAGAAAAAATTTGGAGACACGGAACCGGAACGCGAAATCTAATCCAACCCACATGATGAATAAGGATACACAGAACCAGACCCATCTGGGTGTCATCAGTCTTCGTGTCGTCCAGTGCAATTACCTCTTTTGGGAAAGCTTCTCTGGACGGCCCTTTACTTAAACGAATCGCACCTAACGTAGCTTTTTGTTTTTCAGGTAGCTCCCCTGACCCCTATAGAAGAGGCACTATGTACCGGGCCATCCTTTGGTAATTACTAATTACTATTATAACCTTAACTCTACAATATATCTTAAACTAAATACCAAGCGAGTCTCTATCCTCCTGACCCTACCCTATGTACCCTGTCACGATAGGATGAAGTTGTGACAATATTCTAGAAACGCTTCTCGCGTTTCCACAAGTAGGTAGGTAGTTCGTCCAGTTTAGTTTTTGTTTATCATTATGGAGAGCGGTATTCTTACATGCAAGCTAATTTTGGTTTGTTTCACTAATTTTGTTTTGTTTCAATAGTAGTGAAATCGTTTTTTTATAATAAGACAATTCATTTTTAAGTAGGTCAATTTTTCACTTCGATTTCTTGCTTTTTCTATATTCTGATTTATAATCTTATCGTCTTCATTCTTGAAAATGTTATTCTAAGTTAAATAATATTTCTTTGAAAATCGCATTTGTGTTTTGCAAATTCTTATTGATAATTTGTTAATAATATTGTATTCAAGACATCAGAATGGATTTTTCTTTTTCCATCCAGGGAAGTTCCAAGCCGATGGTATTGTATATTTTTTTCACGATTTGTAAATTAGATTATCAGTCTGACTATAAATTCTATTTTTCTAAAGAGTAAAAGAGTTAGATAAATTAAAAAAATTTAAAAAAAAAACGTACAAGTGGGTCTTGTATCTTTTGTTAACTTTGTTATTGAAACCGTTTATTTCGTGATGAAATATAAATAAATTAGTTTTGAGAATCAATATCTAACCGATAACCTTCGCGATTTTAAACGTGTTTTCCTGAATACCAGTTTTATGTGTGGTAATTAATAATTTTCATGTTTCATATCTATTTGTTTGCGACAGCTGGGAGACAACAACTCCATTACCATATTTCAAACATTAACATGCGCCCAAAGTTACCTTTTATTGTGACATTTGTTCAATTGATAGGGTATTCGTATGGTAGGTAAGTTCTTGGGTATACCATTCACCAAATGTGTAATATCGATTACTGTTTTGAATTTCATATAGGTAGGTACCCATTTACCAAATTTTATTTTGTAAATTTCAGGCCATTTCTGGAAAGATTACTTTGGTAACATACCACAAGACGCATTTCAAGCAGGCGTAGATGCTAATAATGAAGCAGTTTATGTTGGTCAAGCGCTTTACAAATCCGGAGTTTATCCTGTCAATATACAAAGTGGAAAAGAAGTGGTAATTCCTTATTTTGGATCAAAAAGTGCAGATAATTTTGTTCATGTAAGTAACGTAATATTTTTATGGACTTAATTCACTCGAATATCGGAAAATTTTGGAAGTAGGGGCCTGTAAATTTTATACCTACTAAATTATTTTTAAATTGAATAAAATTGTCCTATTGACCTATCATATTTCGAGAAGTAGTTTCTGAGGATCTCCATATGCTGTGCATTGCCAGATTATGTGGAACTTTTTGTGTTGGCAAAACAAATTGGCAACATCGCATCGCTTCACGTATAATTTATAACAATACTTCTCCTTTTAGATATTATGTGCCAACGATCCAGAAAACTTCCAGTGGATTCCCACAAATAAATCACATCTCCACCTATTACACACTGATAATAAAATAGTCAGGGGAGGAATTGAAGGCGGTAATTGGGTATATGTAGGCCGCGTCAAATACCAAAGTGGTACTTCAATAGGAAAAGTGCTAGCTGGCCAAATTGGAGACGCGGTAATGTATTTCGTTCACAATGGAAAAGAAATTGTAACTGCCTCTTACGAAGTTCTAACTTATAATGATATTTTTTCAAAAATTGATTTAAGATTCTCTGCATAATATTGATTTTTGACCACAAGAAGTCCCAATAAATTAAATTATAATACTAAACCATATTTAAGTAAATGATTCCTCCCCTGTTCCACCTCCAGCATGGAGCGCTTGGAATGCTGGACCTGGAATAGGGGAAATCGTTTTCATTCTCTATTTAACCTTAGACTTTTTCTATACATTTCATTCTAATAGCCTGTAAGATGTTCACTTGCCAGACCGGTAGATATACATTTGCTACTTGGTTACGTTGTGATGCACAAAGCCAGAATACCCTCAAGGTCGTCTTCGAATGCCTAAAGATTAATGGATATAACTTCAAATTTTTTTTTTGTCCCTACATTTGAGTATTGTATTAAGGCTTAGCAAATTTTGTGTGGTCTTAAGCTTTTGTTTGTCTACCTAATATTAAACCTTATATTTGTGTGATATTTCTGTGTTTAACTTATGATTTTATGCATCCGTTATTATCAAGATTTATTTAGCGAAGCAAAAGTGAAAATGTTTACGTGAAAGCGTAAATCACGAGAAAGGTGCTGGAGCGAGTTTCTTGCCAAACTTAAAAAGAACAGAGAGAAATAAGAAACTCTGGGAGACGCTTTCTTAATTAAAATTGGGGCTGGCATTTGAAGTATTTAGGAATATACTGCATGACGACGAATAAAAGCTTTCAAAGATGGCTGAAACTTTTTATCTTTTTCAGCCTTATCTACAGATTAAATCTATTTTGAAAAGCATTTGGAGCTCGCGAAGCTTTTAAAAGAAACTGCTTTAGCAGTTATATAGAGCAAGTTTATCTCTAGCAATTCATGATTCTCAGGGGCAGTAGGATTCGACAAGGTAGGTAATTAAACAATTTTTTTTTTCTAAAAAAAAAGTATTTGATTTTCAAATTATGTGCTTACATATTAGCACACGTAGCTTGGAAGTTTCCTGGATTTTTCTATGAGCACTAAACTTGTTGGTTTTTTTTATCTATGGAAGTGGCCAAAACTTTAACTCAAGCGTGTTCGTAAATAAGTTTCGGTTGTCTAGTTACTTTTAAGGGTTCATTAGAGAAGTTTGCGAAAACGGTAACCCATGAAATTTAACACTTCGAACGTGTGGACTAAAGAAAGATAAGCTTTTAACAACACAAATAAACTTTGTATTAGTTTCCAAAAGATTTAAAATTTTATTTTAGTAATTATTGGTTTATGTTTTATAACTGTTAAAAGTTTTTGACTGATAACCAATAACCGGAATAAGTCAAATACTACACTGTTAATCAGCAAGTTTTGTAGTTTTTGGTTCTGTTTCCTCTAATATTCTATTATAATAATACTTATAGTGTGGTGAGATGACAGAAAACACTTTTTTTCAGTAGATACTTAGTCATAATAACTAAATTCGCATCACGTTTTTTTACCAGTTTGGTCCAACTTTTGTTTCAGCAATTTAGGCATTCTTGTATCCATTATGCTCTCCGCCAAAAAAAGGTTAATTTCTCGAGGGATTCATCGTACCTACCTACATATCCTTCGGCATAAAGCAGTTGGAGATTTCAATTTTTAAGTTGGACAGATGGTACAATATAGCAAATATCTGTTGCCGACACGTCGTCCGTTGCGGCGGCACATCTTCGGAAACAAAGAGGGGCCAGTTGATGAAGTCATTATGGGCCGACACGGGCTGAGGCTGTCCTAGGGCGACAGGTGCACTTGCTGGAAAGATGAGGGCAAGGGAATGGTTCGTGTTGATTTTGGACTAGATTTCGTACAATTTTTAACACAATTTCGACGATTTTTTTTTAATACTTGCAAGTATTAAAGTAATATAATGCATCCATACCTATTAATGGTATTTACCCATAATATTATTTCCTGGTTAAGAGTTGCCCCAAGGAAATAAATTAAGTGAAGGATTTTTCATTAAAACCTCGTAATTTTTTTGATATCGGGTGGAAGCGAATGTTTTAAATACTGTTGAGTATCTATTTCTAAGAAGGAGGATAGTGAGTATAGGACTGGAGAACGTAAATTGCCAATTTTAGAAACTGCCCACGTTTCAACTTTTACAGAGTCTCAAGGCTAAAAAAACGTAACTCATCCACAGAAATGGAACTCAAAAAAAAACTATACAAAAAATAGGACAAAATAAATATAAATGGAAACATTCATATTCTTCACACTATAAAAATGTATAACAATTTAATTTAAACAAGCTGAATCACTGGGACTATCTCTATCTGGAACCATTCTGTTGATACTTTCTTTTCCTTTTTCCCTTTCTATCACTTTTTCTCATTCTGGATTCTTTAAACGTCCGTTCACAATATTATTAGCATAAATGATACCTTATTGGCTCACATCAAATTCAAGCTTAAGGACCTTATTGTTGAAACAGGGGAGCAGCGTTCCCAGGGTGTCTATTCTCGAAACCAGAGAACAGCGTTCTCATGAAAATGAAGGTTCCGTCTTAGTCGCCCATATTTATATTTCCATAACACTAACAAAGATAGAGTAATAATTAATTGTTCTCGTGAGAACGCTGTTCCCCGGTTTCGAGAATAGAACACACTGGAGAACGAGTGTTCGGTCTTTCTCAATGATATGCAAATGATAATATAAGTAACAAAGACACACTCGTTTTTCTGGGAACGCTGCTTCCCTGCTTCAAGAATAAGGACACTAGTTTGTTTGTACAATTTTCATTGAAAGTAGTTTGTTTCGTCTTTAGGTGTATTTTTTTAAAAACAATTATCAATTTCAGTTTGCAACTGATCCTGATCACTTGCACTGAAAATTTTCCGTGATAACACTCGCACGCGCCAGGAATACAAGACCTAACCTAGATTTTTTTGTTTTTGGAAACAATGTCCAAAACAAAACATCAACAGAGTGGCAGTGTATTATCGCTATACAGCAATTAGAGAAAATAAACCCAAACTAACAATAATTTTTTTGTATATAGGTATCGGTAATTTCGGTTTGTTTTGTGTTACCTTAACCTAGCAAAGTTCAAATAAACTCCAAATTACCTCGAAGTGATCGAACTGAACAAAGAATTTTTCCGATGACTTGTATCAATGACGCTCAGAACGATAAGTTGGCAACATAGGTTATGAAAGATCGCTATCCCTTTCGCTTATATCACTTTGATCACTGATAATTGACTAGAATGAATAGGCTTCCAGAGGATGAAAATAAAAAACATCAGGGGACAATTTTTCTACTCTGTGAGTATACCTGAGCCACCTCCCTTAGTTATCTGATTTTTTTTTTTAATTTTTAACCATAATTTATATGAAATGTTGTCATTACTGACTTTTCAAAAATTTGAAAATGTCACATTTCTGTCTTTTCATTTTCCTGGTCCATTACCTGTCCCAGGACAGGAAATGAGGACGGAAAATATTTCCCGTCCTCATTCCCCGTCCTCATTTCCCGACCTCATTTATTTGATTGTCACGAATTTATTTATTGTATTTCAAGAAATTATGGTTAAAAATAAAATAGTATACAAACCTCGACGGGAAACTTCATTGCTGTCTCGAGGTTCAGTTTATCTCGACGCTACTCGTCTCGATAAACTATATAACCTCTCGATCAGCAATGAATCATTTCCCGTCTCGGATTATAATATACAATTTTTTTTTTTCAGGTGTGTGTTTTATATCGTCGTACGACTGTTTCTTTATTCTTCACTTGCTCCTTCTCTCAACTTTATGACCCCATTGTTCGCCTTGTCTGGGTACATGACCGATGACCGCTCAATGCCCATTTCATGGAGTATTTCCTTTGGAGCAGAGAATACAAGTAAATTCAGCATGCATCGTATGATGAAAAGATCAATGCTGAGAATCAATATTCATAGCCGTAAAATACGGAAGTACAAGATGCTGTGGAAGTTATTCTTTGCCTAAGGTAAGAAGTGACCGGACATTCGCCAAAATGAAAGGCGAGGATCATAAAATGTTGCCCAAGCTCAGTCAGACATTTTAGATAAAAGAGTCCCAACTCGTAACATAAACAACATAAAGCGAATCGCTGGAAACTGAATAAAGGTGGCTCAACTTTCTCAGGACAGAAGAACATGGCAGATAAATGCTTTTATATAGCATTGGACACGATGAGCTGCTGACGATAACGATGATAATGATCTTTTTTGCAGCATATTGTACCTGTGTCCTACTTCTTGTTCAGTGATTTGTCTTTGTGTCTTCAACTGCCAAAAGAAGTGTTTTGTTGACAGGCTATTGAAACATTGAACTCTAACTTCCCAATCGTTTTTTATTCATGCATAGATTGGAAAATTAGAACAATTATTGAATTATTAATTTTTTTATCTCTTGGCGCCCCCTATTAGGACCTAGGTCCTAGCCGTCTTAGGTTTTCAATAGGGGTTGTTCATAGATTCATATATAGTGAAACCTTAGTGCGCGTTCACATTGACACTGCTCGAGCGGTGAGCGTTGCGCGATGCCGCTGTAGTGATGCCCAAAAATAATTTTAGCATTATATTTCAAACTAGCGGCCCGCTCCGGCTTCGCACGGGTATAAAATATATAGCCTATATCACTCACTGAAAAAATGATTAAAATCGATCCAGTTGTTTTGATTTATTCATTACTGCCCGTGGCCCGCACGCGTTAAATTTGGAGTAAAACAATTCCCCTTTCCCTATACCATGAAGATTTCCTGCTATGTTTAGAATATCTAAATTCATACACTACATTTTTGCTTATTTACTTTCTACATTTTTACCTATTTATTTTATTTTTAAAACAATTAATATATTACAGAATCAACAATGTATTTAAGGTATTTAATTGGATAAGGATTAATGCTGTATTAGTTGAAATCGCTTCCTGCGTTTGCAATGTAAGCGGAATAAATGTAATTATTTACGACATCACATTGGAAACCTCAAAAATAACAGTATTTCTCCACTATTTAATGGATGTTATTATACATCCTCTTCAATCACTCTATCTATTAAAAAAAACCGCATCAAAATCTGTTGCGTAGTTTTAAAGATTTAAGCATACATAGGGATATAGGGACAGAGAAAGCGACTTTGTTTTATATTATGTAGTGATGTAGTGATGAACAAGTTCACACTGAGGCGGCGTGTCCCGCGGTGTAAACATGTTCATTTGAAATATAATGTTAAAATTATTTTTGGGCATCACTACAGCGGCATCGCGCAACGCTCATCGCTCGAGCGGTGTCAATGTGAACGCGCACTTAGAATCTGAGCAGGTACTCGTATAATTCTAGGAAGTGATGAAAATCTAGTGAAAGGTAAAATCTCAGACTTTACCTCTTCTACGAAAGTTTGAGCTGCCTTTCAGATCTCAGGAATATCATCAACGTCAATGGTTTTTTATTTGAAACGTTCACAGGCTACGCATCTAAAGAATGCTTAAGCCAGTCAGGGCCATGAAACTAGGTGGACGAATGGGCAATATCCTTTGGTGACATTCCTCATGATAGAATGTCCACAGGGTTATATTCAGTTGGTACATATCTGCAACGATAATTTGGTGCTGAGCTTTGGATTGTAGCAACACGGTTGCCTACAAATATTGGTAAATTGGTAGGAGAACACTTTGACCAAACTAATGTGACGGTGAAATCGCACCAGAAAAATATTCTGTAAATTTTTATAGTAACCGAGGCCTTTACTTTCTCGTAAAGCTGAGCCAAAATCAATGCCCCAAATAATTCTAATCTAGGGGTACTAACCGTCTTAAGAGGCGCAACTCGTGTTTTAGAGGTTAGCAATTGTACAAAAGCAGAGTTGTTTGAGTCAACGGACCTGATATAAATACAAGCACCATATGCAGAATTGGATGCATCAGAGAAACCATGCAACTGAATAGACTGGGGCTTCGCAGAGACAACCTTTCTAAATATTTGCAATGCATTCAGCACATGCAAATTTGATCTTAAATACGTCCATTTTTGGGCCAAACTTCTCAAAACCGGCTCTTCCCATGACAGGTGCTGGGACCATAGATTCTAAAGTAAGAAATTTAGCATTTATAACAACTCGGCTTATAAGTCCAAGAGGATCAAAAATTTTGGCTACTCTGGATAAGATGACTCGTTTGGTGATTTGCCTTGCAAAGGATTGTAGGCTAATATTGAATTGAAAACACATAACCACTGCATGCCCAAGATCTTGCTGGTCTCTGAAGAGTCAAAGAATTACTCCTGAACTGACTCCGACGCAGTGATTCTATCCAAAAGACTTTTTTCTACAACTGTCAAAAAATGATGATGTTCGCACACTCATGACAGTTTGCGAAGTAGCACTTTTTTCCCCAGGTATTGATTTTTTAACGTTCCCATGACGCCGTGCGCGAACTACCTATTTCGCGCACGTGTGCGCGAAATAGCTAGTTCGCGCACGTGTGCGCGAAATAGCTAGTTCGCACACTGGGTGTCATGGTGACACATACCTTTCAGGAAATCAAAAATAATTAAAATTCACCTACCTTTGATTGAAAATGCAATTTTGGCTTCGAATGATTGATATTTAAATGGAGTTGTAGAAAAAATATTGTTTGCAACTCGGGCGCGAAATACTTTGGTGATCTCGACTATTTTTTTTAACTCGGCTGCGCCTCGTTAAAAAAATCAGGTCTCGATCACCAAAGTAGCATTTCGCGCCCTTGATACAAAAATAACTATTCTTGTTAGATTTCCATTTTCTTAAATTGATGCACCCTGACTTTAGAATTGCCAAAATGTCATTACACAACTGCACTGCCTCTTCGAATGAGTCAGCTCCTGAAAGGAGGATAGATATCTCTGCTTATGACTTTAGAAGCAGCTGGGTAGGATTTTTCCCTTTCAATAGCTAACTGCTTCAGACAGCGTGTTGCTGAAAATGGGACACTGTAACGGTGTTCAAAGAAATTGTCTTCATTTCATCTTTTGGATCAGCTCGCCAAAGAATCAATTGTAACGGTCGAAATTCCTCTTTGACCTATTAGTCAATACATTTTGCAAATATCGGCTGTGCTCTTGAAGTACTGGAACGACCATCTGAATTCCATTCTATAAGAGACCTGAAGTAGATGTAGCCGATCTGTTGAAAGCAACGCTCAACTTTGTTGTACAGCGCAAAACACCGTGATATGAAGAAAAGTGAGTGATCTGGTTGGGTGAAGAAACAAAGGGTGTCATGTGGTTAAGATCTTGATATTCAGTCATGAAATCAATATATATTTTCTTTAATTTATCAATCCTTGACAGAAATACATTGACTATATACTTGGTTATAAGAATCACCCGGGGCCTCTACCAGTTGTTTCGATGGGACTGAAATTATGAAGCGCCCATCTGGATCACGCTGAATAGTTTCAGAGAAGGGAATTTCAGCTTGTCTCCTCATCAGAAAGAATCACCTTGGACGAGACCTCCTCCAGCTCCCAAAACTTGGCCAATTGTGCTTGGATATCATCTGCAGTCGTTGAAAAATTACAAATTGTTCTATGTGAACCTGAAATATTCAATGGTCCGCAGACGCAAACCAGCCCAACTTGCTATTGTGAACAACAGGTTTGTCAGGGCCTAGTGAAATTCTTCCATTACGAAGCATATCTCAAAAAAATTCAATATCAATAAGTAAATCAATGCTTGGACCCATTGATTTACTTATTGGTGTTGAATGTCTTTGGGATCTGCAAGAGTGCAATGGGTTGGTATGTTTACAACAGCAGGATCAAAATAAGAATTTGGCAATTCACTTGTAATTTGAGGTATGACGAAACAATTGAATTTCGGTTGAAAACTAGAATGACAAGAATTTATTTTAAAATGGCATGAGGCTTTAATATTTGAGTGACTTTGACCTAATCCCACTACTGAAGAATTACCTTTATTTAAAGAAATACCCAATCTATCTGCAAATTCTTGGGATATAAAGTTAGTCATTGATGCACTGTCCAATAATGCTCTGCACATCAATCAGAAACTTGAACCACTGCTGTAGCAAGCAGAACCTGTCATTCATTAATTTTGTTATGCAAGGAAACCTGCATTTCACTTGAGACTTTTTGACTTGGTATCGACTCAGTGGGATGTAATAAAGAATTATGGTTTCCCTTGCAATGCCTACATTTAGTTGATCTACATTTTTCTAGCTTGTGACCAATATGAAGAAAATTTGGACACAATTTAAGTGCTTCAACCTTTTTTTAAGCGTTCTTGAAGAGATAGAGCTAGAAATTTTGAACATTTATATATTGCATCTTCTTCTTTACAATAATAGCTGGTAAATACTTTTTTTTAAATTTTGTTCATCACTTGATAAAAAAAATTTCCAGTGGCGTGCGGTGGTCTTTAGAGTAACGGAAGCGGCCGAGGGGGGTTACAGGGGGGTATCCCCCTCTGTCGTGTAATGCGCCGCTGGCGGAAATTTTCACAAATTTCAAGGTCATTTACTTTTCTAGAAATATGCATATAGGTACAATTGTAATTTTAATGCAACCGATTAACCATTCATATTTCTCATAAAATCCAACGTGAAAATGCCTCGTGAATTTCTTTGCCGACTTCTCCACTTTCGTTTCTAAATTAATAGGATCCATTAGCCTACCCGAAATAATAATGTCCCTTTTCTCTTCAAAGTTTCGACTAGAAAATCCTTTTTTTATTAAACAGCACACAATACAAACACAGTCTAAATTGTTATTGGGGACCGGCACGGGCACAGTAGATGTAGATGGCACCTCCATTGCAAAAAAAAATAAACAACCACGAAAAACCTCAGAAAATTCAATGAAAAATACAGCACTACGATTTCACGAAATGCCGGCATCGGATTTTCAATACAAATCGAAATAAAATAAGTGGAAGGCGGCGGAACGAGCGCTGCCTTGGCCACTGAATTCGCGCGTTTTCGCTCGCCG